GAGAAATATGCCCTCTCTTTCTAGTCACTGTGTGCGCTCTTACTGCAGCATTTTGGATCAACTGTAAGCTTGTCAGGAAGTTTTTAGAACAGCTTGATTATAATAATAGTCTATCCTAAAAAGTAATAAATGCATGAATTCATTTCCAGCATCGCTCTGAGATACGATGTTCCTCATTTTAGAGATATGACACCTTAGAGATAAAAACTATGAACACTGAGTTATTTTAACCAGCTGTTCAGCTTTTAATGTTAATATGTGAAATTATAGTTACAAATATTAAGATTAGAGTACTTCAGTTTCTACAAAAAGAATTAAATGTATATAAGTGGAATTTTATACTAATGCTGGAAAATGTTTCAGTGCTAGTGAAGATATGCAATAATGGACTATTATACCAGTATATAGCAGGAAATATGCCATATTTTAGACTATGTGTGTGTTTTTAGATTTTTATTTATTACAAACTTCCTTCAGTTCTTCAGAAAAATCCATTTGCATATATGTAAAGCTTGACTTAATGATTTGAAATTATGGTATGACTGAGGTTTGGAATAAATCTGAACATATGCCGCAAACGATGGATGAACAGAACATATGAATGTTGCTGTGGTACACCAAAGATTTTGTATGTTTGTGGCCTGACTTTCTTTTTTGCCTCAAGGCCAGTTTTCCCGCAATCCATGGCACCGACATCCATGTGGGCTTCCTTGTTCGTTTTGTTCTGTTGTAATTTACAGGAGGCTGAAAATGGAAGAGTTCATACCCACTACTTTGCGCATGGATGTGAGGGAAGAGAGAGAGGCTTTCTTTGCCCAACAGGAGGGTAACTGACATCTTACCTAACTACAACAACCTTTTACACATTAGCATTTTGATGCAACAATAACAGTACTGGTTGAACTGGAACATCCTTTAGTTTGCATGTTTAAAATGAGATCAATCAAACTTGAAATGCATGTTGGGTCACGCATCCAACATTGAAGAGAAAGAGAATCGTTTGTCCTGCGTAGCATTAAGACAACAGTCGCCTTGGTGAGTGTTTAATCAAGAGGCTGTGGACGCTGGAAAATAATGCACTTCACCTCCCATAAGGCCCTGATAAAATCACCAGGGGAACATGCTGTTGCCATAGAGATGAGTCAGCAGAGGGCAGGGCTGAGACACAAACACAAGGAGAGAGGTGCTGCAGGATCTGAATGCTAAAGAAAATAGATTTAATATTAAAATTGACATTTTCATGGTAAGCATTGAGGATGAAATTGATTTTTAACACCCACTGTAGTAATTACCGGCACCCGGCATAATGAGAGTAGTTGTGCACGGGTTTTGACAAACACGTTTATCACTAAGTAAACAGGACAAGAATACAGACAGCTGCTTTAGATCTGTTGGTGATGGATGAATTTGTGGAAAAGAAGAAAAAAGGACAGAACCAACTCTAATAGACGTGCATGTAAGAGTTAAAGACAGTCGATGCTGGCATCACTTTTAAAACAGCGTATTGACTGTTTTTAAAAAAAATTAGAAATTGAAATTTTGCATCATAATTTTTATTGACTGCAGTTCACAATATGTTCTGAGCTTTTTTACGTCTTTATTTTCATAATGATATGACATGTAGTGGACTAGAGATCATATTCCACTACAACATATAGAAAAAAAAGGAAATACTCAGACTCACATTTCAGATTTAAACATGTGCTAAAGAGGTGAAAAGTAAATACAACACACTTGTGTGCAATCCAGTTTTCCCACAACTGTGCTTGAGTGCAACTAAAGCACGATTTCACGGAATCAGATTTTACTGGTGAAAATGACAAATGCCTCAATGCAGGATTAAGCCTTGAAGGGTTAGAAACAATACAGAAAAGGAAACTGTCAGGTGGAAAGCTCAGTTCCTGTGACACCCCGTTAATTTAATTTTGTCACTGTCGCCAGGTGTGAGCAACAGTGAGAGCCGCATGTGGATCTGTAAGCCTACGGGTATGAACCAGGGAAGAGGGATCTTCCTTTTGAAGAGCAAGGAGGACATAGCTGCCTTCAGACTGAAGCTGAAGCACACGGAGGACCGCCGGTTCAACAGGAAAATGCATTACCGCCAGCCTCAGGCTTACATCGTTCAACAGTTGGTGAACACAGGATGTTAAGATTAATATCACCCACACTTGCAGTTCCCAGAGGAGCAAGCATATTATTCTATTTTTGTGGCTTGAGTGCCTGCTATTCCTGGTTTTTAGGATTGGCACATGGTTTTAAAAGCATCAACAGGCTTCAAAAAACCTTTAGTTTTGGGTCTCTGATTCAGTTGTCATTTTGCAGTGCTGTTCTAAAATAACATGAACATAAGTAACAGTAGCCAATGATAAGGAACCATAAAAACAATTCTGTTGTACTACAGGTTGTTTAGTCAACCATCTGTCATTCATTTCTTACTGTCAGCTTCAGCTTCTTGCTGTCAAACGCAGCCTTTGAAGGTGTTTGTGCGATTGAATGCAGACCTACGATTTGTCCTCAGTTACATCCAGAACCCGCTGCTGCTGAAAGGGAAAAAGTTTGACGTGCGCTCCTACCTTCTCATCGCATGCACTGCACCTTATGTGGTCTTTTTCCGTCATGGTTACGTGCGACTGACTTGTGACCTCTATGACCCCACCTCCAAGAACCTTTCTGCCCACCTGACCAACCAGGTAGACCCCTAATCTAGATAGACTCTGCGAGAATATGAAGGGTTAACTGGAAGATCAAAGTCTAAACGGTTTTACAATCATCTGCTTGGAAATCAGACAGCTGTTAAAAAATGTGGTGAATGGGGGAAGCAGTTAGAAAGCAGGTCCTTCCAGTGGAGCTTGTAACAAACACTGGTGTCCTGAAACAATGTGCCATCTTCCGTATATGCTAAGAAATGAGTCCTGGCTATAGCAGAAATGTATATATAGGAATAGAAACCAAAATGACACTTTACATCATCACTGTTTTAACTAGAGCGGTATGTCTTTGAAATGTTATTTACAAGCATTTCCACAGACAGACCAGATCAAATTCAGATTCACTTTATTGTCTACATTTAGCAAAACACACAAGTCACTGTAATTGAACCATTAAACTAGCAAAGGATTTTAACCTTGGTTTATTTTGTATTTTAGCTTGAATCACACATTAGTTTAGGTTTTACTTTCGGTGGTGAATTTTATGTGAACATCAGATATTAAAGATGCTAAACGTGTTTCAGCTGGAAACAGCAGTCTGATGTCAAAATTATTGCTAGAGGGACACTCATGTCTGTCTTTTTTACGCTACATGTCTTCATTATTTCCAGATCAAGCTTTTTGTTTTGGCACAAACTTGCTACCTGCCTCTGCTCACATCTTCATGTGTCTCTGGTCCCCCTGCTGTTCGTTTGCAGTACATGCAGAAGAAGAACCCTCTTTACAGCCAACTGAAGGAAGACACTGTGTGGTCCATGGAGAGCTTCAACGCCTACGTCAACGACAGGTTTCAGGCTGCAAAGGATCTGCCCAGGGACTGGGTGCTGGGCGCCTTTGCAGTGAGTGCAGTGTTGTAGCTCTCAGGGACCAATTACAATTATAATGATGGTTTCTGGCACATGCAGCTAATTGAGATTGTGGTTAAGTTTGGATGCATCATCTCATCGCTAAAATGAGATGTTACATGTGATGGGTTTTTTTTTTTTTTACAGTGCCCTGCAGATTGGTCGGTTCATTTTTGGCGTTGTGTCTCATACACACACACACACACACACACACACATTTCTTTGACTTAAATGAAGCTTGAGCTATATGCAGTAGTGAGGAACTTTGATTAGTTGAAGTGAAACAAACCAGCCATTTATACAAAAGTCGTAAAATCATTCTGATGCCTAATGAACAACTTTCTTTCTCCCTGATATTCAGAAGCGCATGCAGCAGATCATGAGCCAGTGCTTCTTAGCAGTCAAGTCTAAGTTAGACTGCCGCCTGGGGTTCTTTGACTTGATCGGCTGTGACTTCTTGGTCGATGAAGACTTCAAAGTGGGTAGGACATTTCTGGTAATGTGAATGCAAACAGTGTTTAGCATGTGCATTGAGTGTGTGCATTCCTGATAGGTGTGGCTGCTGGAGATGAACTGCAATCCAGCTCTCCATACGAACTGTGAGGTGCTAAAGGAGGTGATACCCAGCGTGGTTGTGGAGACACTTGGTGAGTTCTGGAAAAACAAACAGCACGTTTCGCAGGCCCCAAACTCAAATTCAGCATATGTTTGTATTAATACCACTCCACCAAAGATGTTCTCACATTTTGTTTAGTGTTTAACTGGCATAGTCACAGTTCCCTTTATTGCACATGTTTGCTAATTAGGCTGATGTGTTGTAACACCCAAAAGTGTTTTTTCTATCTATAAGTGTGTCTGTTGTTTTATGCCCTTCTCTAGATTTGACTCTGGAGATCTTCAGGAAGATTCGTGGCAGGCAGAAAATTTTTCCTTTGGTCAGTCAGAGGGAGTTTGTGCATCTCTATAGTGCTTTTTCCACTACAGAGAAGTCTAGCACGGAATTGCCGAAAAACACCAAAGATGTACAGAAAACTGAACCCAGAAGGTTTATGTGTGGAACAGAGGAAAAAAGTGTTCCCTCGGCATCCCCTGATAATTCTGCAAATGATTCAGCACTTCCAAAACGAAGGAGCAGGTCAATGAGTGGCCACCGTCCCACCAGCACTTCACAAAATCATCATGAGTCAGGGCATTCACATTATACAGCTAAACTCAAGCTAAGCAAAAGTACTTTGAATCATCATTTAAAGGCTGGAAATGACCATCACATCCCCTTCATCACTAGCTCTGAGTGAGTGAAGCTCTACCTGTCTGTGGCTCTCCTGGGACACAGTACCTTACAGTATTGAACATGTGGAACAATTTAGGATACGAAGAGTTTAGTGTAGAAAAGAAAAGAGGAACTGTGACAGTATGCAGACAGCTGTGGTATAAAAAGCCTTTGGTGCTTTTTAAAGATTTTAAGAGAAACACTCTGGAAAATGCGTCAATAAAGAATGTATTCATCATCAACAATATCTTCTGGCTTCTTTTTTTGTCCTGTTTGGTAAGGAAGGTGTGGCGAAGAGAACCCATGTCAAAGTTATTTTTGTTTGTTAGTGCATGCATACAACATTCATTCTCAAATCAAAGGGTCTGGTAGAAAATGCATCAGTGAGTCATCTGACATGAAGTTGCATCAGCAGAGCAGCTTCTGATCTGTGGAAAGTCACTCAGACGTGATTGTGTGCAAACCCTCCCACCACCTTACTGCAACTTTAACCAGGAAGATCAACGCAAGGCTCCACTCTACAGTTGTTGTAGCTTGTTTTGACTGCAGCCCTTTACCTCTCTGTGTCATAACTCATAATTATCTCTCTTGGCTACTCAGAGTCAAGTTCAGCGCATGTAAACTAGACAGGCATGGCCCCATCTTTCCCAATAAGATAACTGCTTCATCCACACGTTTCACAACAAGGAGGAAGCTTGTCTTATCAACTTCAGGAGGTATGATAGTTTTTGACCTTCATCTGGTCGGCTCGTCTTTTTGTGACAAAACAGTTTTTATTTATCACGCTGATACATCAGCAGGTTCCCAGCGTAAGTTCAGAGTGCGAAATAGGAAGCTGCTCAGTCATCTGCCGACGGCCAACTGACAGGAAGGAAGGAACAACTACTACGCTGCGATTCAACAAAAAACTGCCACTTTTGTCTTCAATTCCTCTTCAAAAGCTTTTTGTTTTCTGGGCTCTGTGGAAATACACACTGAATGCTGGCAAAAAGGGGGAACTAGAGCTTAGCAGCACCCCGCCTCCTCATCCCCTGCTCCTGTGCACAATATCCTCTTCTAAACCCACCCCCCCATTTTTTTTGCTATCTCTTTGGTTTTAATGAGGCACGCACAAACTGTTTGGATGATTGTCTAGACAGATGGTGCTCAGTGTGTGGAACAGAAGCTGAGACGAGGTAAAGAGGGACAGACTCCATCTCCGTCATGGGATGCTGTAGTGTGACCCAGAGGCATACTGGAGTGGACGAGGTGGGCCCTGATGAGATTGAGCTCCTGGAACTCTCCGGAGACAATTTAGGGTAAGACACAAATGCAAGATTAGTGTTTGAAGCTAAGAGCTGTTCAAAAATAAAACACACAATTTTATTTCACTGCATTTTGATCCTGCAACAAAAGTTAACTATATAAATAACAGTTAACAGAACGGCAACGTGTGAATTTCACTCAGTATTTTTTTGAGTGTATCTTTAAAGTCACTTTAAATGTGGTTTTTCTGTGTTTTGGAGGAAGCGGTGGCACGCTGTAAAGTGAAAAGAGAGCTGCTTCTCTTTCAACACCTGCGGTTTTCTGTGGCATTTCATTCTTGACATTTTTAAGGTGATAATGTAAAACACAAGTATAATCCTTTTCCGCACTGCAGCATATTCAGTGTTATCATGTACAGGATATACCACACACACTACATGCTTGGCTTTACAGTAACAGGATGTGTTGTCACACAGAGCACTTTAAACTTTAAAACTGGATTTAAATCCAACAAGAAAAAGAAAACAAAAACTGCAGAACAACCAATGACATGCGTTCGATTTCTGCCCATCAGCACCTCATGGAGACACAAGACAGGAGAGCTAATTGGCTCCTATTTACTCAACATGAACTTGGGTGCTCAGTGATGCTGCACTGATGTGATTAGCAGATTACTATAAGACAATGGTTGAAGCATGGAGGGGTTTAATACAGAGTAAGGGCGGGACAAATCCCCTCTCATTCAAAGGCTGGGGGATTAGCAGAAGCTAATCACCGCAGGAGCTTCTGCTCCTTATGTGTAGCTCTTTAATTATAACTGCTTATAAGGCAAGCCACTTATGTTTGTATTTCATAACACACACAAAAGTGTGTGTTTCAAAGATGTCTTAGAATGTGCGCTTGCTAGCTACTGACTGGCTCAGTATACTGATGCTGACCTTGTTTATATACAAGAAAATAATGCAATTTCAGGAGAACCTGCTTAACTAGTGCCGTCACTAGTAAGATAATAACAAAAACTTCTATAACGTTTAATCACCAGATGAGTTAGATCAGTAAATATCTAACAGTAATAACAACTTCAAGTCAGTTTATATTTAAACTTGACTTTATGTCCCCAGCCATGATTGTTTTTGTGTTGTTTCAGAGTTCCAGGTTTATTTACATGGCTTCTTGAACACACTCAGTAATTATATTACACAATCATAATATAAAATGTGAAGTTGAACTATGTGCAAAATCATTGACGCATTCAAGAAACCAGTTTAAACGTTGTGTTATGGCACGTCATCCTGCCGGAAACAGCCTTTAGAAGGTGTCTATACTGTGGCCATACCAGGTCAGCAATATGTGGTTATATGTTATATATGGTTATACCACCTGCCTCAGTCATTTGATATGTTTCTCAGAAAATGCGTTTTGACTGATTGACAGTTTTCAAGCATGTGGTCATATATACAAAATAGAACTAAAAAGAGCATATACATGAAGAAAAATAAAGTCCTCTAGTGCTCGAAAATGAGCAGGAGGAACCAACACTTATGAACTCCCATCCTATCACACATTTATAGCTCAGTCATATAGTTGTGCAGCTAGTTCCTGGGTAGGTTTAATACATTATATAACAACATTATGTAAAACATACAAAAATATCTATACTGAAAACACCTCTTGTAGCTTAATGCTCCCCCTCAATCAATCTATCAAACATATATTTATACATTGATTTAAATTTCTGGCAATGTGGACAATGCTTGTGCTTAGCCATTTTACAATGTTCTTAAAAATTATTGTATATTTCAATTACAAGGACCTATTATTTTTTTCCTGCAAGTACAAGTAGTCAGCCTGCTCTAAGAGAGAGGATAACCCTCTTATGGCCATAACAGGCACAAATTGTTCAATTGCTTCATGGCCCAGTATTAGATAAATTAGAATTATTTTAAAATGTGAATGGTCCAAAGTCAAAATTTAACTTACTTCTCAAACAATAATATGAAATCATATCTACTTCCTTTCAGCTCTGCATGACTATACTCAAAAATCGACCATTTTCGCATGTATGCTAATTGTCAGTACAGTTATGACTAATGCATTAAAGTGTTTGTACCATCATTGAGCAAGAGTGCGTGTTTGTTTTCAGTGTGTGGAGCCTGGGAGAAACCAGACTTCAGCTGTCTGTGAGGAACAGCAGAGACGAGCAGCCCCAGCCACCACGCAGACCTACAATACCACACCTGGAACAAGAGGTTGCTATGTGTGTGTGTGTGCTGCGTACTTGACAAATAAACATCTTGACACTTTGATCGTGCACTTTTCAAGGTCAGAGCATGCTGTGTGGTTGAGTCTGAATTAACACTTGTAGTGCTCAGCCGGGGTGAGACGAGACCTCGTGCGCTGTAGGAATTTCCAATGCAACGGTGACATATTCTGCATTCCCCTTTGGTGTGATTCAAACTTTACAGGAAATATACAAGAGAGGAAACATTGCTAGACAAAGCTTTGTTCTCAGACTTGATTCAACTCTTACACTTTACCTCTGTATTTGTTCCCTAAAGACAGACACAAAGTTTGCCTAAAGACAGTGATTCAAGCCTTGCAATGTTGAAATACATTCAGGTTTGCTGTGTAATGCATGACTCTGTGGAACATGTGCCCATGTGTTAATACTGACTATAAATAAATACAGTGATATGAGACAGTGGGAAGGGGGAAATGGCCACCCATAGAATTTTTTTTTTAAATTCTCTCTATTTAAGAGAAAATCTTGCAGCTTTTAACACTGCTGTCAAAGACAGACAAAAATAAGACACATGAAATGAGCCACAGACATGGGGTGATATATTTTTGTGTCTCTAGGTGGTGCTGTGGGGAAAGAGCAGAAATGAGCTCCACCAAAGGATATACTCCCAACAGCCAATCAGGGGCTGGGAGGGCCAAGCTGCCCACATGTATGGAGAGATCATCCACTCCTCACTGGTGTCTCTCTACATCAGCTACACACAGGTAATATGGTAACACACAAAAGGAGTGAGAAATTTAATGTGTGAGACAGTCCTTGGATTTAGACGCGGCTCTAAAATCAGCAACAAAATAAAAGGTTTTTTTAATTGCTGCAAGAAGAAAAATCACATTTAAATTAGTTTAATTAGTTATAAATTAGTTAAATATCATAAACAAGTCACTTAGCAGGGATCCATACCCATCGTTTGGCCCTATCCTGTAAAGTCATTTTAACTTTTTGTGTTTTTGTGGCCCTTTTAAAAAAAAGCAATGAAAATGATTAAATCCTGTGAATTGTGCCTCTGCAGGAAACCCGAGAACACTTCCTGGTTTTGTTCTCTTTCCACCTACTCATCCTTTCTCTGGACCACTCTCGGCAAGACTTTGTTTATGAGGTATGCTTTATACTTTTTAAGACGTGTGGTTAGAAATGCTATGTTAGCAGACGATCACTGGAAAACTGAAGTAAACATATTCTTTCACAGAAGTGAAAACCTTTATTGGATTAGTGTAGTGTAACATAAAACTAAAAGTGGGTGTTAATGATAAAGCTGCGGGGTGTTGGAAATTAAATCACGGGCTGTCATTTGTGCCCTGCAGAAAACAGCTACAACAGAGCATTTTTAACTCATTCTATGAGGACCCCAAGCCAAACTGGTCGACATAAACAACAAACGTTTTAAACATGATATCAGCTTAAAAGTGGGATCACACACTACATGTATGTGTATTTAAATTCTAGTGGGGGTTGTTCCTTATGAGGGGGTCGTTGACCCAGTGCTAGCCTTTTACGTCATCACATGAACCAAGGTGTGGAAAAAGGCATGGGACATTACCACTGCTGAAGCCACTGTGAAACCTTACCCCTCCCAGACTACTGAGGTCACCTAATGGAAGGCTCTTTAGATCCTTGTGTTGTACATGCACATGCCTTTTTTCACACATTGGCTTTATTAATAATGAAAAATTAATTCATTAACTTATTAAATTGTCTCTTGTGATCAGAAAATTGTATACTGTAACTTTAGACCCTAGTCATAATACCATGCATCAAGCTGCATTCAAACAGGTTAGAATTTTACTTCCAAGTTGCAAAAGGTGAAAATAGAATGATTTAAGTTTTTATTTCCAGCTACGGGTCAAGTCCCAAATATACTGTCAAACTTCTATAATGCAGCTATTCAGATCTACTGTGCCTGCCACCTTCCCAAACACCTTTCACTTTTTTTTAATGAAAATCTCCAAACTTTCTAGGGTGAGCAATCTTAATACAGGAATCTAATCGCTGGTGTTATTAATTTCTTTAAGTTTGTCTTCGTTTATCTTGCAGGGCATTCTTCCCCTTTCTGGACTTTCCTTCCAAGTTGTCTCTCTGGACTTGGACGCGTCACATTCGCCACACATGTTTGAAATCAGCAGTGAGTCAGTGGAAATTACAGAGTTCAACTAAGACGTGCAAAGCAGTGTGAAAAACTAAGCATGATTTATGCTGTTCCCTCTTCTATCCAGGTCCAGTGATGGACTCCAAGGTGTTCACATGTGCCAGTGCGGCAGACCTACAGAAATGGATGCAGCACGCAGAAGACAGGAGATACAAGGCCATGATCCAACCCATGAGTCCCTCCCACTGCGCTCTCTCCTATCTAGTACTGACTAACTGTTGCACTGCATCTGGTTACAACTGTACCAAAGTATTGTAGTTACATGTCAGTAAAATACACTGTGCACATCTTTCTCTTCTAGTTACCGTGTGATGAGAACTGGAAAAGAGAAGAACTGAAAAAATACTTACTACAAGCTCCAATATGGCAATGGGAGGGCTCGCCCATACAGCACATGGGTCAGCCGAGCTACGTATCTATTGTCCACATCATCAACACACAGAGACAGGTAGTAAATACTCTTCAACGTCCTCTGAAAGTTTTCTGTAACATATTTTTAGAACATTTTTTTGTGTGTTGACATATTAAACTAAAGATGATCAACTATTTGGCAGGCACAAAAATCACCAAAATTAGACAGTAGGGCAATTTCCATTTAGATCATTAAATAGAAACTTGACTTCTTTTTTAAATCCTAATAAAAATGAGCTTGTTTTATTAGAATTATAAAATAGTCTTTGAAAAGCATGGAAAGACATTTGCTTCTGACTTCTTAAAGGCCTCAGAAAAGTGTAAAGAGCCCTATTTTCAGTACTCTTTCCTTCTACATTTACCACATGATGCAAGTTGAACCGTAATTGACAAGAGCACATATTTCCCCTCAGCTCCTAAAAAAAAGATGTGCAACCTTGTTCTCTATCACCATGTAGCAGTTTTCACTCTTTTCAGCTATGAGTTCTCATAAATATACATTGATACGTGTGTAATTAGATCTTCCAACAACTTAATGCAATCTCATAAACTTAGAATTAATCCAATTAAAAATACAGTCCTCCCACCATCTTGAATACAGTTGTTGAGATAGACATCGCTATTCCGCATAACTGCATTTTATATATGACTAGAGACCAGCCACCTGCGTAGGACATGTTAAAACTCATAGGCATACGAATGCAGACTCATCATATGACAGATCATAGCTGTGTTTTATCATAAAGAATGTGACCGGCGTCTGGATAAAACGTCATTCTCTACATCATCAAATCAAGCATCATCTCTTGAACCAAAATATGGGTGTTTTAACACACAAAAACTTAAATATGCTTATTTATTCATGACATTTTCTCAATTATTTATTTGCAGCAGATTAGACATGTGACCCTGCCCTCCAGACACCTGCCTACTGCGGATAAACAACAACAACAACAGCTGGTTATAAGCTAACATTATGTCAGCTAATGTTAGGGTGGAGTGTTCTAAAAACAAACAAAAAGAAAAAAAAAACAGTTTTCTTCAGATAAACAGGTTGATATACGTTCTCATTCACATCATATGAGAGTTTATTCACAAGTGTCCAAGTTAGATCTACTTCAAAAAAGTATCTCGAAAGCCAGCTAACAGCTGCTAACTGTGGCTAACAGAAGCTAAACAGTAGGTAGCAGAGACTAACATCAGCTAACAGCAACTAACATAGATCAATCCCAGATAACAGAGACTAACAGCCACTAACAGTGGCTATCAGCAGCATAAACAGAGATAAGAGATAAAGACAGAGATAACAGAGGCTAACCCCAGATTACAGAGGCTAACCCAGGATCACAGAGGTTTACAGCAGCAAAAACAGCTGCACTTACTGACAGAGAAGTTCAGGGTATCTTCAACAAGTCACTTCTCTGTCCTTGTCATGGGGCAGAAGTGAGATTCAGATTAGTGTTGTTCTTTGTTCAGATTATTTAAAATGAACATGGGCAACAATTTCCATAAAGCTGCTCAATGCACAAAAAGTCTTTTCAGTCATCTCCAGGTTAGGTGACATTGCTCTTTTAATGACAAAAGGGGATAAAAATCCTACAAAAAATTAATGTGATCGTCCTTTAAATTGGAAATATAACACTGTATAACAGGAAATGTGAGTATGCTCACATACAGTAACCAAGGCATGCTGGCTTTGTTCTTTTAGGGTCTCCAAGAAAGACTGATGGTACTCTTCCCTCAAGACATCGTGCTTCTATCTGTTGACAACAAGCGCCTGACTATAAGATATGAGGTACTGCAAAATTACTCTATGGGAAAAATCCATAATAACACCTTTTCTGCTGCTGTGACAGCAAAACTTCCCAGTGTCCCAGTAATTATGACATGTTCCTTGTTATTTTGGTAGGTAACATGGTAGTTCAAACTTTCTGCCTTCATCATTTAGTATCAGTATCTTTGTAGTAGAAAATTATTTCCAAAATAATGAACTAACTATTCTTTTTTCATTTTCGCTCGTATTTATATATACACTGTTAGAGAAGTGGATGCTCAGGCTTCAGACTGCTCTACATGTTTAGTTTCTGGCTGAGGTTTTAGACTTTCGTCTGTGTATGATGTGAGAGGAGATGTTGTTTATATGGTTATCTGTCTTTAAGCACAGAAGCCCAGCTCACCTGTTGTTAAAACCTTTAAAGCAGCATCTAGAAAACAACTTGTCTTTTCTGTCATCTCTAACAGGGCAGGTTGCCCCGACAAAGTGTCAAAGCAGTTGAGAGGTCAGCCTTGCCTGGACGGCTGGAGTTTGAACTGATAGGTACACTCTACACACGTGGTATCTTTGTATTTTTAGTTAAATGCAGCGTTGGAAGGGCAAAAATAAATATGTGATTCATTTCATAATCACTGTTTTTGTTTGGATTTAGGTGAACTGGTGGAGCCGCTGCAGGTCTCTTGTACCTGCATGGAGGATTATCAGAACTGGATTTTTCAGTTACAACAGGTTAGACATGATTGTATGATTATACATGTTTAATGAACCATTAAAGAATAATGTATGGGCTGTAACAGTGAAAGAGGCTAAACAGGTCAGGAGAGATGAAGGAGTCACAGGGAAGGTGATCATTTGCAGCCAGTTTGTGTAGGTTTAATTTTAAACATTATTATGTGTTTTTTATTTAAATGAGTGAAAAATAAAGAAATTTTAAAAATACTTTTCTGTAAATTAATTTAAAAAACAGCCATGTAGCACTTTATCAGCCAGCAATACTCATTCACCGGACACTTCATTGGGTACACCTTGCTAGTTCTTCATGTCATAAATTCAACAGAGTGATGGAAACATTCGTCTGAGATTTTGTTCCATGTTACATTATAGCATCACACATTTGCACAACTGTGGACAATAGAAGGCACAACTTTGTGAAATGTAGCCTCGTTTTTCTCTTCTTAGTCGACACGAGTGGCACCTGTTGCGGTCTTCTGCTGCTGCTTTCAGAGATGGTCTTCTGCATACATCGGTTGTAACTAGTGGTTATTTCCATGCTTGAAGCAGTCTGGCCGGTCTGCCCTGGCCTTTGGCATCAAAGACATTTTCTCCTTCTAGGATCATTCTCTATAATCCCTAGAGATGGTTATAAGGAAAAATCCAGTTTAAATCACCTTTATTCCCCATTCTGATGTTTAGTTTGCAAGTCATCTTGAACATGTCCACATGCCTAAAGGTGATTTGCTGATTAGATATGTGTGTTAACAAGCAGTTGAACATGTATATCTAATGAAGTGACCAACAAAGAGTTTTTTTGGCCTAAATGGTTTGCCAAGAGCACGAGCACATAAACAGTCAAGAAAATTGTGGCATTAAACGCTACGTTTCCTTAGCAGTTGTAAAGTAGCTGCATAATAAAATACTTTCTAGAAGAAAACCTTCTATGAATACCACTGACCGATCACATTTCTGCATAGTTTAGGCTTATGTGTGGTAGTCACTTGTTTTAGTTTGGTATGAAAATCAACTTGTATAAACTTGTTTGAGATTAAAAGCACATTCATGCAGCTATATTCAGCAACTCTGAAAGCAGAAGATATAAAAATGTTTATTTGGACACTCCTTAAGCATAGACTTTTTAAAGTCCGTTGTTTTTCAAGATTCAAGAAAAACTGCTTGTCATGCAGAACATGACGTCTGGTGCTTTAACCGTGCGGCATATTTGCGTAAACAAGATTTTCTTTTTAATTTGCAGCCAGACAGAAGCAACTATGTTACTGTGAGTCAACCGCCACCTCCGATAATGCCAAAGCTGCAGAGGAACAGGAAGGAGTCCCAGGAACCAATGCTAGCAGCCGACCCATATCACATCAATGGACGCGGCTGATTCCTCAGACGGGAGGAAGAGCCTCAAACGTCACTGTAATCATAAATTTGAAACATGTAGATAATTTGTACATATGTCTGGTATGTGCCACAACATGGAGGCAGAGCAGTGAAGACTTCTCCTTCTAATCTTTGATATATTGGGTTGATTTTGTCACTGTGAACAGACAGAACACAGCACTTAAAGCCGTTATTCATGTTGGGGGGTAAACTAGTCCTTGACCCAGTTTAAGAGCAGATCAGAGCTGAAGAAATGTTAGATGTAGAAACTGTAGAGTCTCAAAAATAGCTTAAACTTAGGGGTGAATAAACTGTAAATACCTGTATGTAGCTTTGTTTTACCTTTTCAAAATAAACTATATAATTTTTTTTATTCCAAACAACATATTGTAAGGATCTGTTTATTTCAGAGGCAAAACATTTACAGTAATGCGCAGAAATCCAGAAAACGTCCAGTGTCTGACAGCGCTTGTAATTACCGTGGCGTTGGGAATTAAACTGACTCCAAATGTCATATTTATACAATAGTATTTGTCAAATCTTAGTTCATATAAATTACAGTAATAACGTTTTGCTCTTTATACACAAACCCATTTTATCGGAAAACACATTTACATCAGAATCTCCTTAGAGAGGAACCAGCTAGAGGAGTAACTATAAATACACATACTGCAACTGCAACAGTTTAAATTAAAACTAAGAAGTGAGATACAGAAATAAGCTGGGTTACAAACATTTCATGTGCCGCTGGATGACTTTACACTGGAATCTTAATTAAAGTGGTTCATTAACAACAGCTTTCAGCTCAGTCACACTGTGCTATTGGTCACTTGTGAATTTTTACACAAAATAATTTGAAGGATGGAGACCTATACGCAAGTTAGTGCTTAGTGCATGCAAGCAGTATTTTTTCAGTATTTCTAGTATAATGGTATAATCAATTATATTGCTAATTTGGGTCAACAAAGTTTTTTAAAATGATTACATGTAACGCTAAACATCCACATTTACCACATGGATGGTTAATGTAAATGCCCAACAAGGTGAAACTGGTAGGTTTTTCAGTTCCTGGTTTTATAGGTCAACAGCTGCTCGCTGCGGCTTTGACTTCATGCAGATGTTACTAAAACAGGAGTAGATGTTTCATCTCATGATGCAACTGACAAATTAGAGATGTCACCAGTGGATTCTGAACAAAAGTGGAAGTCTATGGCACAGAGGAATACACACAATATATCAGGGTTTGGCTACATATGTGGATACAGTGTAACCGATATTAAACCCTACGACTTGTTTCGTTTCTAAAACACCGTCCTGAAAGCACTTCATCACAGCACTGGTACTGCAGATCATGTCCATATAAAAAGGTGTCATCCTCTAGTAAAGAGGTAAGCGTATTTTAACAAATTCTTATCACTTTAGGATGTAGATGGAAATAATGCGCTGTTGCACTGGTAAAAAATCGTATATCACGTGAAGATATGAATGTGAAAAAAACTGCCTGTGGTGTGTCCTGAGGCATCTCAGAAGCAGCACCCGCATCAAGCACATTTCTAATTATTAGAAGAGTGAACCTGCAGCACCCCACAGAGGCCAGGAGACAGCCCAAAGTAAGATTGTGCCCCACACGAGCCATGACAGAAAAACAGTGACAGACTTGCTTAGTGATGCTTACATTTACTACCTCTGGTGATAAACGTGCACATATTTAAACCACATTCTTCATTCTTTCCAGCCTGTAAAAATGGTACCCAATCATGCATAAAGTAATCCCCCTGTGTAGTTTACAGTCTTACGTGTGGAAAATCTAAACTACAAATGGAAAATGAACATTAGAAGCTTTGCACTCTCTTTCTGGAGCTAGTGTGCCAAAGGAAACTGCTAATGTCAACCACGGGGATAACAATCAAAACACGTTGGCTTGTTTTAGCACCTGCATACTTTACGGAGGTCCCACGTCCATCTAAAAAAGAAAACAATCATCCACAAGCTTCAAAATGCAACTTTAACACATTTTGTTAACTTGCATCTTTAACAAGTTGCAAGTTAAAAAGAGTTAGTGCTCTCCCTTCAGTTTCTGTGTGACACATTTGATGCGGATATTTTCTCTGAGGTTGCGGAGGCGCGCACTGCGACTTGTGATTTCCTCCACGTAGCATTTGGGGAACCAGCCCCGCTCCCCGTCTGACAGCCTGATGCCTTCCACCCAGCCTGTTGAAACACAGCAGCCCTTAGACATCAAATAAACAGCTGCGTGTTTAATGCATCCAAGTTCTGTTCATTTAGGTTCAGGCTGGAGTGGTTAAAAAAAACAAAAAAAAACCCAGACTCTGCCCGATTCTTACCATCACTTGTAATTGTCTTGGCGTGAAGAATGTCAGCTTTTTCCAGTGTTAACTCATCGTGCTCTTGAGCCTGGTAGCTTTTGATGCACTGAACTTGCGATATATCTAATAGGAAAAGGCACGAAGCGAGAACATGAATGAGGAGGTGAATAGTGTTGCCTTAAATCTTTCTGCACTGATAGATCTCCACTGACCATCATTTTCATTGGCTTGCTCGATGTCTACGAGCGGGTCAGACGGAAACATGGCGGTGATCCATCTCTGCTTCCCGCTCCTTGGCAAACACAAAGCCGACAGGAGCGGTTAAACAACTTAACTTGTCCAGCTGTGACTGAACCTTTTGACAAAGAGATGACACTCACTCGGTGTGGGATTTGAGCAGAATCTGATGTTTGAGCTGCTGGCCTTCACACAGCTGTAGGTGGAAGATGAAGCCTGAGATGCCCTGCAGCTTCTGACTGAGATCCTTCACTTTCAACTCTCCGATTTTAGCGTGTACAAACACCATAAACTTCCATGTACTGCAAAGGACAATGGCTCATTTTAGTATAATGATCAATAGCAAGCAGTATATACAAATTCATAGATAAAACTACATCTCAGTAAGTTGTTGAACCACTAGCACCACCTACCCATTCTACTTGGTTTTGGTACTCTACAGAAGGAACAAAGCAGCAATCTTTTCCTATTTGGTGCAGGTGTAGCCTGTAATATTGGAAAAACTCCACCACTACTCAATAAAGAGCGTTCAGTACAACTTTGAAATGATTTGCAGGGATCCTTCCTTGTAAAGGGACAATCGAACCAATATTATGGCAGCAAAATGCTGCCTACAGCATAACAGAGTCACCTGATCACCTCACTATGGGGTTAAAGGTCTGGGAAAAACACCAAATTGTCAAACTGAAACAACACCTTTAAACTAGGTGGATACCACCTTTAAGATCATCTTCTCATGCATATCTGAGCCGCTTCTGGCACTTTTACCACTTTTTAATGCTCTGCGGAAGTCCTATTATGACCCTCTGCCTTTGTTTCATTTTGACACAGGACCTTGAACTTCGATGTGAAAGTGGGACGACTTTCATGCTGAGGGTGATCAGTCTTGATGAGATCAAGAGACCAAACAGCAGCTTTCGGTCATAGAGTCCCCAGATCTCAATAATCAAAGCGGCGGGAGCACAACCTGGACCCCCCCCACCCCGACATTTATGGGGCTCTGCAACGTGAATTCATGGCCCAGGGTTAGACTGTCAACACAGACTTCTACCGTCTGAGACAGACCGGTGGAAATGACCCAAACTGGGGTCCTCGCCAGTGTGCCGCTCGCAGTTTACTGAAAATGGATGAATATTTCTGGCCACACCTTTGGCACTTTTCATGTTATGCATCATTAGAGCAATATTTCAGCTTTTCTTTTTGTGCACACTGAATGTAACTCACTCCTTCCTCCTGGACAGCAGCAGGCAGTCATTGAACAGGTGGAGGTACACTGGCTTGGTGGGTAACTTGAGCTTTGATCCGGAGATGCTCATTGTCTGAGTGTCTACTTCCAGGAGTTCGCCGTGCTTTACCAGCCAACGTGACTGGGAAATAAGAGGAAAGATCTACAAAGAAAGGAAGCAGGCTCCGCTTTAATGAACAAAAAAAATACAAAAATGTGATAATAAGAGGAACCTTCAAATGCTTCCCTCACCTTGCCCTCAAAGTGGATTTTCTTGTTGAGATGGATGAGTTCCTCCATCCTTTTCATCGACTGCACACTGGAGTTACATTCTTTGATGATCTAAGAAGACAAATACCAACACGGTGATTACTGTCATGTCTCACTACTGGTACTCATCCAACTGGCTATTACAGATGATAATCACCACCTTTTTTAGCTCATTGAAAGCTTTGGTGGCGGTGTCCTCATCTCGGGAACCCGGTGTTGTCCTCTTTAAGATATTCTGAAAAGTAAAGACGGTTTTGAAGATGTTCCAGGGAGTAAACAATACTTTTGTGTGGTGATGTCGCAGGGGGAAAAAAAAAATTATCCCGTATGCAGTTCCGTATGATTGGGTTTCAACTGGAATTCTGCAGTGAATGTTTAAGCATGTACCTCCACTAGCATTTTAAGCCGCGTGATCCTCTGAAACGGGAGGATTAGGAAAGAGGTCAGAGGAAGTCTTTGGCAGATGGGGTCCTCCTCCAAGCGAGCCAGGATGCCGGGGAAACGAGGGTTTTCGTGCCTGAGAGGACAGGGCGAGAAATGTTTTAATGACTTTCAGAGAAAGTGAATCAAAATTCCAGCATCCAATTCAGCTTGAGAAAACATGCTCTTAATCGAGATGAATCATCTGCAAGTTAAGTCATGCAGGCGTGCAAATACACCAGAGCACTCGCAGACAGCCACACAACAATCAGACTTTATGCACTGCGGTCAAGCACATGTGCAGATGTGTGCTCACGTCTCCCGGGGCTGATGTGTTTCTACACTCACAGCAAACGCTGGTATGTCTGCTCCTGGTAAGCCTGGTTGGTGACATAGGGCAAATAAACCCTTCGCAGAGACGGGCAGTGGTCCAGGACGATGTCGCACACATCAAAACGGAGAATGTCTTCTTCCAGCCTGTGCTCCAGATCCTGAAGAAATCTACAGGCAACAAGCGAGGAGAGACTCAGAGAAGGAGATGTGATACTGGAGATGTTAGCACACGCCGACCTCAGGGTAACAGAAGGACGTCAGCTGCGTGTTACTTCACCTCTCACTGACATCTTTGACTTCGGGCAGCTTGGAGAAGAGCCACTGCTTTTCCTGAGCCCCGAGGCAGTCTGCGAGCTCCGGTGACAGCATGAAGTGGTCCACTGCGATTGTCAGGCTGCGAATGTACGACGCCTCGGACGTCACCAGCTCAAACTTTGCCTGAGTTTAGATAAAAGCAGCAATTCAGCTTTATAAAGAGCGGTAAGAGTGAAACAGAGATTAAATGAGACGGAAACGTAATATTTTACTCACCTCCTGTAATTTCCTTTCTTCATTGCTGAAGTTGTCG